AAGTGAGGGGGAAATCCCTGGTTGTAAACTCAAAATGTGGGATTTTTCTTTCAGTTTCACATGGGGTGAAAACAGACACATGACAAATAGAGAGGGTGAATCTTCCAAAACAAAGACACAGGAAGGAATAGGAAACCTGATGGGGGTTCTTGTCCCTCTCCACTCCCTCCAAAAAGAGTTTTGACTTTCTATTTACAGTAATGGGTCCATATACGCCCCCTGCTGGCCATTACTGGTAATACAGTCACTTGCTTTACCATTCACTTCCTCATATTCTATAAGACATCTGATTGGCAGAGCCAGCTGTCACTCACGCAGCTGGGTAGATCTCCACAGGAGTCTGTCTGTCCTCGGCCCCCCATCCATGGAGTCTGTCTGTCCTCGGCCCCCCATCCATGGAGTCTGTCTGTCCTCGGCCCCCCATCCATGGAGTCTGTCTGTCCTCGGCCCCCCATCCATGGAGTCTGTCTGTCCTCGGCCCCCCATCCATGGAGTCTGTCTGTCCTCGGCCCCCCATCCATGGAGTCTGTCTGTCCTCGGCCCCCCATCCATGGAGTCTGTCTGTCCTCGGCCCCCCATCCATGGAGTCTGTCTGTCCTCGGCCCCCCATCCATGGAGTCTGTCTGTCCTCGGCCCCCCATCCATGGAGTCTGTCTGTCCTCGGCCCCCCATCCATGGAGTCTGTCTGTCCTCGGCCCCCCATCCATGGAGTCTGTCTGTCCTCGGCCCCCCATCCATGGAGTCTGTCTGTCCTCGGCCCCCCATCCATGGAGTCTGTCTGTCCTCGGCCCCCCATCCATGGAGTCTGTCTGTCCTCGGCCCCCCATCCATGGAGTCTGTCTGTCCTCAGCCTCCCATCCATGGAGTGTGTCAGTCCTCAGCCCCCCATCCATGGAGTCTGTCAGTCCTCAGCCCCCCATCCATGGAGTCTGTCAGTCCTCAGCCTCCCATCCATGGAGTCTGTCAGTCCTCAGCCTCCCATCCATGGAGTCTGTCAGTCCTCAGCCTCCCATCCATGGAGTCTGTCAGTCCTCAGCCCCCCATCCATGGAGTCTGTCAGTCCTCAGCCCCCCATCCATGGAGTCTGTCAGTCCTCAGCCTCCCATCCATGGAGTCTGTCAGTCCTCAGCCTCCCATCCATGGAGTCTGTCAGTCCTCAGCCCCCCATCCATGGAGTCTGTCAGTCCTCAGCCCCCCATCCATGGAGTCTGTCAGTCCTCAGCCCCCCATCCATGGAGTCTGTCAGTCCTCAGCCTCCCATCCATGGAGTCTGTCAGTCCTCAGCCCCCCATCCATGGAGTCTGTCAGTCCTCAGCCCCCCATCCATGGAGTCTGTCAGTCCTCAGCCCCCCATCCATGAAGTCTGTCAGTCCTCAGCCTCCCATCCATGGAGCCTGTCAGTCCTCAGCCCCCCATCCATGGAGTCTGTCAGTCCTCAGCCCCCCATCCATGGAGTCTGTCAGTCCTCAGCCCCCCATCCATGGAGTCTGTCAGTTCCTTCATCTGTTGACCATCAACTTCTTGTGCCGCAGCAACCACGGCCCCCCAGACACTGGTCAGAGAGGTGCATTGTGTTCCTTCACCGTAAATCTCCGGGTAAGAAGAGGCCACAAGTCCTCAGTAGGGTTTGGGTCAGGTGATGAAGGCGGCCATGTCATTATTCATTACTGGCCGGCCACGCAGTGGAGTACTTGGATGCATGTGATGGAGCATTGTCCTGCATACATATCACGCTCAGACTTCTTCCTGGACCACGGCTTGAGGAAAGTGTCTTCTAAAACCTGGCAGGAGGTTTGGGAGTTGATTTTGAGTCTCATCCTCAACCTGAAAAGGCCCAACCAGCTCATCTTTATTAATACCAGCCCACCAGCACCCCTCCTCCACCTTGCTGGCGTCTGAGTGGAAGTGGAGCTCTGTGCCCGGTACTGATCCAGCCACCACGGCCCCATCCATCTGGTCCGTCAAGAGTCCCTCTCATCTCATCAGTCCATAAAACCTTCAGATATTTCTTGGCCCGGTCCTGACGTGTGTTCAGTGGTCGGGTTTCCTCGCCTCGGCCGTGTCTCTGAGCACTGAACACCTGGTACTTCCGGGCCCTCCAGGTAGGTCGCGGTTCTGGAATATGACGGCGCTGGAGGATGACGGGTTCCCGGGAGCTTCACGTTTCATTCTTCTAAAATCTTTGGCAGTTCATTCCCGTCTTTCTTTCTCAGCACGTTCCTGGCGCCCCTGATGACTATTTGCAACAAAAGGTTTCATGGTTCTGTGATCGCGCCCCAATATCTGTGATCGCGTCCCAATATCTGAGCGCCGCATCCCTCTGAAAGACTTTCTACAATGTTTGACTTTTCAGTTAAATCTCTTTTTTTTTGGCCCATTTTCCCTCCTGAGGAAAAGCTGCCTAATTATTATGCGCACCTTGATATTGGGTGCTGGTCTCCTGAGGCCACGCCCCCCTCATTACACAAATACACATCACCTGATATGCTGACATCCAATAAGAATTCAAGTTTATACAGCTCGGAGTTGGACAATATGCATCAAAATGGTGATTTGCTCACTTGCCTAATAATTGTGCACACAGTGTATATATATATATTCTTTTCACCCCTCCACACCCTCCTGAGGTCCCCTGCCGCCCTTTGGCCCAGCGTCACAAGCATAGCACGTAATACAATGCATTCAGACTGCATTCAGTTGTCCCTCAGCCACTCCTGTGTTGTCTCAGCTGTGTGTTTAGGATCGTTGTCACGTTGGAAGGTGAACCTTCGGCCCAGTCTGAGGTCCTGAGCACGTGGAAGAGGTTTCCATTGAGGAGATCTCTGTACATTGTTTTATTATCATATTGATGGGGGGGGGGGTGAACCAGGGAAGGATAACTATAACCGATAAGAAGTTTCCAATCGCATAAGATGGACTCTTCAATGATCAATGATGGATTATTTTCTGGATTTAAAACGGTATAAAATGATGTCATTTAGACTCTGTTCTGTGATTGGCCGGATCGCTCTCAGTCACATGACGTCAATAAAATCTCAACTTTTATCTGTCAGTCTAATCACATGGCCTGCCGGATGTCATGAGAGCCGACTGTCCTTTGCTGTGTGCGCGTTCCGGCACTAGAGGGCAGAATGAGCCCACCGCCGACTCCGAGACCCGAGACTCACTTCACTGTGTATGATGAATTCCCGGTATCTGTTCTTATTCTGTATGTATGGACTCTGCACAGTACCACTTCTCTTGTCCTCTATGCCGGTTGTCATTCTCAGTATCTGTTCTTATTCTGTATGTATGGACTCTGCACAGTACCACTTCTCTGTGACGGGACGCTAACGGTGTCATTCCGTAGATTTATTTTCTGCAGAAACGTTTCTATTTACAGAAAGCAATCTTATTTTATATTATTTTGCAGCTTTCCCAACAATCAAATGGAAAGTTTATCCCGTTATGATTGCGGAATTCTCTTCTCTCTCCGGAGGGAATCCAGAGGACGATCGTCGCACAATGTGATGACTTTTTATTTGCAGAATTTGTTGCTTTTTGTTACTTTTTTATTCTGTTTTTATTTCCTGATTTGCGTCATTTCTAACAATCCGCGTCGTCTCCTCACCTGTCCTTCTTGATAAATCTCTCCCCAACTCCGGACTATCCGACCGTCTCCGCCGCGTCCGTGATGAGCGAGGTGTAGAAATTGCTGCTGAAGGATTTTCCGCTCCTGCACGGCATAAATCATCCTCTCGGCGTCCACCAATCCGCTGCTGCTCGCCGAGGCGTGACGCCATCTTGATCGTTACCCAGCATGCCCCGCTGCTGACTTTGGTTCTGGAGTGCTGACGACGTCAGGAAATGATATTAATAGAGGCAATCTCTCTCTCGCTCTCGATCTCTCAGGTCGGATTGTTATATTCCTAGCAGAGCAATTTTCCTGCCGCAATTTCAGTTCACAGTTCCTCCCCTCCCCCCTTCATCAACATGCTAATGTCATTCCATTTTCAATACATAGCTTATTGTAGACTTGGTGATGTCATCACTGGGTCCCTTTGCTGCTCTATGCAATGCAGGCAGATCATTACTTGTGGGAGGAGCCGGCAGGGTATGGTACAAAGCTTCCTGAAAACACGACAGCACCCTGCTTTAGTACTTCTCTCAAGAGCCCTCAGTCCTGATACAAGCAGTGGGCTGGCTCTTGGGAGGAGTTATGCAAATATCAAAATGATGGATGGGTATCAGTCTGGAGGAGTGGTCGTTCCTAGACAGGCCTCATTTGCATGCAGACTGCCCTAGGTCACGCCCACATGCAGTGGCGTCACAAGGGGTGTGTGGCCCGCACCCGGGTGCTACCATTGGAGGAGTGACACCAAAATGACTGACAGTTAGTTTGGTGTCACCCCCTATGAAAAGTCGGGCACTCGGTCAAGGACCGAGAGCCCAACCGTGTCAGGAGAGAAGAGGGGACCCGGCGGCATACCTCATCCCACCAGGTAAACGTCCCCTCCTCTCTCTGCCGGCGTCCATCACTAAGATGGCCGCCGGCAGGCATCAATTGGATGATCGCGCATGCGCGATGACTTCACAGCGTGGGTGTCACCCCTTGTCCGCTCCGGGTGTCACCCGCCCTCGGGATGCCTCTGCCCACATGTGATGCCCAACCTCCATGATAGAAAGAACCGAAATCCAATGGATGAAAGGGACGGGGCCAGGGACAGTCAGGATGGGGAGGAAAGGACTACAGCTACAGTAACAGCCAAAACATGAACACAGGAAGTGTTTTTACCCAAACAATGGTTTTGCCGACTCCAGAGGAGAAGCCGCTCCCACCGCAAGCCTGATTTCTGCAGCTGTGTATAAAGCTGTGCATAGATTTGATGAAATAATAAGATAATAAAATGTGATTGTGGACGTGCGCTCTGAGTTGTTGGCCGCAGGGAAGCGGCGTGCTCCTTTAAGACGCGGGATTATTGGTGGGGAATACACGGAGTCCTCCTAATGACCTTAGAAGAGACTCGCCGGGCTCCTGCTTATCTGGCATTTCTAGTATTTCAGTCGATACTTTCCAGAGAAGCTGCATTAAATTTTGATGGGAGTTAAGTGCGGAGGACGGATTTAGCCGCGGCAGAAATAGCCGCTTTCTAAAATAAAAGCTGATCCAGGAGTCGGACAGCCGATGGTGCAATATCAGCTTCTCCTCCGGTAAGCCGTTTCCTGCCCGCTGGGACTTCTCTGGTGGAGACGCGTCATGCGTATCTATTGCTCCTGTAATGCCGGATTCTCCTTTCTATACATATCCCCGAGCGAGGATCGGATGTCGCTATATAAAGATCCCCCTTCCAGTAATACGTCTTCCTGATGCTCGCCACACATTGATCCGACGGGTATTTATAACGTGGGCCGTCCGAGAGCCTCTACCTGCTGGTCTCTGGGCTAAAAGTGACCTTGTTTTCTGCAACATACGTGATGGAAAAACCCGACCTACAACATGTCCGTCACATCTGGAACCCCTCTGTCCCTCTCTATAACCAAACCCCTCCGTCTCTCTCTCCTCCACAACTGTCCTTCTTATAGACCCAAACCCCTCCGTCCCTCTCTCCTCCACAACTGTCCCTCTTATAGACCCAAACCCCTCAGTCCTTCTCTCCCCCACAACTGTCCTTCTTATAGACCCAAAACCCTCGGTCCCTCTCTCCCCCACAGCTGTGCCTCTTATAGACCCAAACCCCTCCGTCACTCTCTCCCCCACAACTGTCCTTCTTATAGACCCAAAACCCTCGGTCCCTCTCTCCCCCACAGCTGTGCCTCTTAGAGACCCAAACCCCTCCGTCCCTCTCTCCCCCACAACTGTCCTTCTTATAGACCCAAAACCCTCGGTCCCTCTCTCCCCCACAGCTGTGCCTCTTAGAGACCCAAACCCCTCCGTCCCTCTCTCGTCTACAACTGTAGCTCTTAGAGACCCAAACCCCTCCGTCCCTCTCTCCCCCACAGCTGTCCCTCTTATAGACCCAAATTCCTCCATCCCTCTCCCCCACAACTGTCCTAATAGACCCAAACCCCTCTGTCCCTCTCTCCTCCACAACTGTCCTCTTATAGACCCAAATTCCTCCATCCCTCTCCCCCACAACTGTCCTAATAGACCCAAACCCCTCTGTCCCTCTCTCCTCCACAACTGTCCTCTTATAGACCCAAATTCCTCCATCCCTCTCCCCCACAACTGTCCTAATAGACCCAAACCCCTCTGTCCCTCTCTCCTCCACAACTGTCCTCTTATAGACCCAAATTCCTCCATCCCTCTCCCCCACAACTGTCCTAATAGACCCAAACCCCTCTGTCCCTCTCTCCTCCACAACTGTCCTCTTATAGACCCAAATTCCTCCATCCCTCTCCCCCACAACTGTCCTAATAGACCCAAACCCCTCTGTCCCTCTCTCCTCCACAACTGTCCTCTTATAGACCCAAATTCCTCCATCCCTCTCCCCCACAACTGTCCTAATAGACCCAAACCCCTCTGTCCCTCTCTCCTCCACAACTGTCCTCTTATAGACCCAAATTCCTCCATCCCTCTCCCCCACAACTGTCCTAATAGACCCAAACCCCTCTGTCCCTCTCTCCTCCACAACTGTCCTCTTATAGACCCAAATTCCTCCATCCCTCTCCCCCACAACTGTCCTAATAGACCCAAACCCCTCTGTCCCTCTCTCCTCCACAACTGTCCTCTTATAGACCCAAATTCCTCCATCCCTCTCCCCCACAACTGTCCTAATAGACCCAAACCCCTCTGTCCCTCTCTCCTCCACAACTGTCCTCTTATAGACCCAAATTCCTCCATCCCTCTCCCCCACAACTGTCCTAATAGACCCAAACCCCTCTGTCCCTCTCTCCTCCACAACTGTCCTCTTATAGACCCAAATTCCTCCATCCCTCTCCCCCACAACTGTCCTAATAGACCCAAACCCCTCTGTCCCTCTCTCCTCCACAACTGTCCTCTTATAGACCCAAATTCCTCCATCCCTCTCCCCCACAACTGTCCTAATAGACCCAAACCCCTCTGTCCCTCTCTCCTCCACAACTGTCCTCTTATAGACCCAAATTCCTCCATCCCTCTCCCCCACAACTGTCCTAATAGACCCAAACCCCTCTGTCCCTCTCTCCTCCACAACTGTCCTCTTATAGACCCAAATTCCTCCATCCCTCTCCCCCACAACTGTCCTAATAGACCCAAACCCCTCTGTCCCTCTCTCCTCCACAACTGTCCTTCTTATAGACCCAAACCCTTCCGTCCCGCTCACGCCCACAACTGTCCTTCTTATAGACCCAAAACCCTCCGTCCC